CCTAGCAATCCAAAGATCTGGCAGTTATAAAAAAAAAAAGAGAGAGAGAGAGAAATTGGCTATGGGATGAAGAGGTAGGTATGAATCTGCAAAGCATAAAGAGAAATCTGGACACTTAGCAGATTTCAGATCCCGACAAAATTTGAAGGAAAAGTCATGAGCCCTTCCTCAAAATATCTGAAGCTAGAGACAAATGAAATCTAACAAAAACTACAACAAAACTCAGTCCCAACTTGGGCACATTATTAAATTAACTCAGCATGCCCACCTCTAAACATAAACACATACACGCAGAGCTTAGCAGATGAAGGGGAATGCCCTTTTCTGGGACAAATATTATTCAGTCTTTTATGTACAATATCTGAATATAAAAATTATGAAAGAAGAAAAATGTGACCTATGGTCAAAAAGTCAATAAAAGCCACTCTAAAAATGACCCAGATGCTATAATTATAGGAACATGAAAAATATGTTAAAAGATATATTGGGAGAGGAGGACAAGAACATATTCAAGCATGAGAAATGGAAAATATACAGAAAAATCAAAAGGACACTGTATAAACAACAAATATATTAATGAAAATGAATTACCAGGTGGGACCGGCCAGACCATACAAAGCAGGAAAAAAAAAAAAGCCCAGCCATTTTTTTTTAATTCTTGAAAATTTTTGAGAAAGGCAAAAAAGATTAATTCAAAGAAAACCACACTTAAATACATCAAAGCCAAACTTATGGTAGAAAAAAATAAAGAAAATCTTAAATGCAGATAGAAAAAAAGAATTACAACAGGAGAACAAAAAAAAAAAACCAACAGCTGACTTTTTATTAGAAACAATAGAAATTAGACAATAAAAAAAATCATTAAAGCACTGAGAGAAAATAACTGGCATTCCAGATCCAGCAAAACAAAACTTTGAAAATGAAACCCCAATAAACACATTTTAAGGCAGACAATAGAGAAAATTTTTTATAACTAGCAAATCTGTTTAAAAAAAAAATGCTAATGGGCCTCCCCAGTGGCGCAGCGGTTGAGCTCTGCGTTGCGAAGCTGCCCGCAGCCTCTGCAGCGCCAGTTCAATCCCCGGCTGCTCCCCGGCCACAGAAGAAGGGTCCCACATGGTGCGCAGACCTCTCCTGCTGCCCGCTGCTCCCCTCAGCAGTGTACTTCGGTCTTTCTGCTTGCTCTGCTCCCTGCTCTGGCTCTGGTGAATTCTCTCACCCTCCCATGCTTCTGACTGTGCCCAGTGCTTGTATGAATAAATAAATAAATCTTAAAAAAAAAAAATGCTAAAAGAAGCTCTTCTGACTGAAGGGATACCTAAAGCAACAGGAAGGAAAACAGCATAATGCATAAAAACTTTTATTTTAAGTTTTAAAAAGTTATCTTTATTATATATATGTGTGTATATATATATAGTTTAACTTCTTTAGCATTCTATATTTTTGGCATATATAGAATTAAAATTTTATAACATGAGTATAAAGGGTATGGGAGATAATATAATATTAAAAAGTTCTCACATTAGTCTTAAAATAGATTATTAACAAGTCAACTGTGGTAAGTTAAAGATATTATAATCTCTAGAGTTGTGCTATTCAGTAGAGAAGTCATTAGCCTATTGATTTAACTTTTAAATTAACTAAAATTGAATAAATTTTAAAATAATTTTCCTTGATTTCACTGGCCACATTTTGAGTGGTTACTAACTACATGTGGCTAGTGCCGACTGTTGGACAGCACAGATACAGAATATTTCCTTCACTTCAGAAAGTTCTACTGGACATAACTACTCTATAAAAAGAGGTATAACAAAATAGCTAATAGCCAATGTAGAAGACAAAAATATTATCCCTCGAAAGAAGGCAAGAAAAGGTTATGTGTGTGTACACACACAGACACAAATAGGACAAAGATCAGCAAGCATTAAGATTATAGACTTAAGCTTAGCTATGCTCATAACTATATTAAATATAAATGGGTTGAACATTCCAATACAAAGAAAGAGCTTGTCAGAATGAATAAACAGTACATATGACACACTTTAAATATAGACTTAGACTAACTGAAAGTAGAAGAATGAAAAAGCATACAATGCAAACACTCAGCATAAAAAAATCTAGTGTGGCCTATATTAATATCAGACAAAACAAACTTTAACAATAAGTGTTACCAGATATAGGGACAGCAATGAGCAGTAATAAAGACGAACATTCATAAAGAAGATATAACAATTATAAATATGTGCATACCTATTATAGTGGTTCAAAATACACAAGATATAAATTGATAGAAGAAACAGACAAATCTATAATCATAATAGAAGTGTTTAACATCCTGTTCTCAGTAATTGATAAAGTAGACAAAAATCAGTAAGAATATAAAAAAGCTTGAACATCATCATCAACTGACTAATAATAATAGAATACAACATTCAGGGGCCTCCCTAGAGGTCAAGTCTCAGCACTATTACTGCTACTGCCTGAGATCAATTCCAGATCCCCGGTCAGGGAGCTAGCCACACAGAATGGTGCAGCAGACCTCTCCTATCTTGCCCGCTGCTCCCCTCAGCAGTGTATTTCAGTAGATCTGCTTGTTCTGCTCCCCACTCAATCTCTGGTGAATCCTCTCACCCCTGTACCTCTGGCCTATACCGCAGCTGTTCTATGCAAAAAAAAAAAAAACAAAACAAAACAAAAAAAACCATTCAATATAAGCAGAACACTTTTCTTTTCAAGCAGAACACTTTCAAGCAGAACACTTCACTTTTTCAATATAAGCAGAACATCTTTTCAAAGTTTACATCTGACTTTCAAAAAGACAGACTATATGATGGATCAAGTCTCAATAATTTCAATTTCATGGCCTCCCTGGTGGCTCAAGGGGTTAAGCACCGCGCTATGAAGCAATCCGCAGCCTCTGCAGCACGGGTTTGATCCCCAGCCGACCAGAGAGAAACCACAGGGCGGGCCGGGGATCGAACTTGTGCTGCAGAGGCTGCGGTTTGCTTCTTAGTTCGGTGCTTAACCCCTTGCACCACCAGGGAGGCCCACAAATCAATTTTTTAAATAGGCAAAACATTTAAATAGACACTCCACAAAAACATAAATGGACAAGAAGAGTGTCTCAAACATCCTTACTCGTCAGGGTAATGCCAATTAAAACCACAATGCAAAGATGAGCACACCGGGAACAGCAGAATAACAACCTCTGAAAATCCACTCTTTTATAAAAGCGATTAGAATGCTGGCAATATTGTCAAAATCAACTTTTTTTTTTAGAACTCTTGAAATTAGCAAAAGGCTTTTCAAAATCTGACGGGCACATATCTTAGAAAAATGAGTAAAACTCAGTAACAACTATGAACTTTAGTAGTGGTCTTGAGAAAGAACTACCACAATGAGAGTGAGAACCAACAGCCTGGCAAACACTGAAGGGGGCAGAACTGGGTGTGACCTCCTCAAAACCCTCATTCCTAGAGAACTATCTCTACTTGGTCTGTCTAGTAGCTCTCTGGAATACTCATTCTTAGAGCATGTCTTTTTTTGGTCCCACTTGGAGCTTCCCAGTGCACTACCAGGAGCATTTGCAGAAAAAAAAAAAGGGGGGGGGGATCAGCAACAATTTCTTAACATCATGCCTGCCTGAAGCTGAAGCTGACAAGAGGATAATAAAAAAATACTTAAAAAAAATTAAAACTGAACTGGGAATGAGATGTCCAAAGGAGGCTTTGAAAAACTCCAAGGTATGCCTGGGAATCTAGAAGACCAGCACACGTGCAGGACTATACCAATATGCAGGGAAGTCCTTAAGCAGGACCTAATCTCTCACCTGGAATGAAGTTGAGGCTTTATATAAGCAGGAAATGGAGGATAAGAGCATTCAAAGATTCCTGTGAAGCACTGAAATCATGCCCAATATACCCACAGAGATTCTGGGCAGACTTAAAAAACATTACTTATTTAAAGCAATGAAGAAGTCTCTGTCCAATCATTAACTCACCACTAAAATAACTAAGCAGAAATTTCAGCGGCTGCACATGACAAAGAACAAACACTTTAGAAAAAGTCTATGAACACTAAATAAACAGCAGCAACAAGGAGCAAAACGAACTCTGGGGAAGACAGCAATCTGATTTATAGAATTACCACATTATACTATATGCTATGTATACTTTTCAACAAAAAAAATATATAAGAAACACAAGAAAATGGGAAAGTATTTGCTCACACAGAGAAAAAGCAGTCAATAAAAGCTGACTGAGGAAGTCAGACATTAAATTTAGTAGACACTTTAAATCAGTATAATTTGAACATATTATATATGTTCAAAGATTTAAAAGAAATCATATCTAAACAGTTAAAGGACAGTGTTACAATATCTCACCGGTAAAGATCAATAAAGAAATAAAATTATTAAAAAAGACCAAAAAGTAATTCTAAAGTTGAAAACTACAATAAGTAAAATGGAAAAAATTCACTAGAGAGGCACAGCAATTGACGAGAATAGGCACAAGGATCTGCAAACTTGAAGACGGGTCAACTGAGTTTATCAAATCTAACAAAAAGGAAAAAAGAAATAGAACCTCAGAAATCTGTGCGACACCACCTACAATAATATATACCTAATGGGAGTCCCAAAAAGAGGGAAGAAAGATGTAATAGTGAGAAAGAACTGCCAAAAAAACAAAACCCAAATTGATGAAAAATATTAATCAGCAATCTGTGATGCTAAAAAATCCAAGTAGGTCAAATTCAAAGAAATTCACATTTAGATGCATAGTCAAACTATCAAAAGACAAAGGCAAAGAGAGTATCTAGAGAACACAGAGAAAAATAACCCATCATGTAGAGGTAATCCTTGACTGACATATATTGATAAATATTGAAGCTAAGTGGTAAGTATAAAAGGTATAAATTATTGTCTCTGATTTTTGTGTCTGTCTGAAAATTCCCATAATGAGTAGTTAAAAGTTATTCATTCATAAATATCTATTTCTTACTGTAGTTCTGTGGCACAAGTTCCGGGCTTTTAGGAGTTTTCAACTTGTAGGATACATCTCCAATGTTAATAGTATCACCTAAAAAAAAAAAAAAAGAACGAAATAATCATTACAAGAGATTAGAAAACAGCATACTATGAATTTTGCAATGATTTCCCCAAACTATTGAAAGAGATGTTATAGAAATATGCCATGTATCTGTCTGTTAAATCATGCTCTCAAACTTCTATCCAAAGGATGTTACATAAATTAATCAGTTTTATTTTATCACTAATACAATAATAAAATCAATAAAACACAAAAGGATGCATTTTATTTAAGTTCATCCAAAGCATCCATAGGATAGTATCTTTAACATTTATCAGCAATCTTTTTCACATCTTTAGAGGTTCTATTTTACACACAACTTCAAGTTCTCTAGTAAAATAACCCAAAAATTCAGTGTTTCTAGTTACACAAAAACAATAAAGCCCAGTGGGTTATTTACTAAGAATTCCTACATGAAACAAATAAGACAAAGCAAAAGTTCTCAATAACTTCCACTAGACTTCCCCTCTGTGAAAAATCAATTATTTTTCTGTGCACAATCTGTCATTTAAAACCAAATGATTGCTGACTAACACAACAGTTTTTATAAATGCAAAGGCAGAGGCAAAGCAAATATAATATATAACAATAGCTGTTTTGCAAAAAAGCATATGTGCAGAAAGAAACATGACATTTCAACACCAAGGATAGTCTGAAAACATTTTAATCAGAGGAATATTAACATTCAGAAATTTTTATCAAGTAATTAGCTTTTACCTCAAAATTCCTTAAGCCAAAAGAATTCCTTGATGTATTTTTATAAAGTAAATTTTTTTCTAGTAAAAATTTATCAATTAATATTCCCTTTTCTTGTCCATACGGAATTTCACCATTTATATCTTCTACAACTATACATTCTCCTTTGTGGCCATCAGCCTGGGTTGAATCCCAAAAGGATTTTTTTTTTCTTCAATGTTTAATCAATAACAAACTGTATAATATATAGCTTTGCCAGATTTATTTTGTGTTGATAATCTCTAATAATTCTTTAACATTTTTATATGGCTGATAGTTTTTACTTAGTTCTTGGCTAATCCATGTGAAGTTCAGATATTTTCCTCAGATATTTCCAGGCTGTTCTACTATCAAGATCTTTACCAACCTCAAAAGTGCCTTTCTCAGTTATGTATTTCAGATATATCAGTGGTAGCCTCTCCTAAAATGTGCTGTTAATGCTCTTAATCCCTTACAAATTGTAAACTATAGGTTATGTTAGGTCATTCAGTGCTATGAATTGTACTCACAATTTAATGATGTCTAGTAGCTTTGACAAAGAAGTCTGTTTAGTTGCTGGGTTTTCAACAGCAGCACTACTGACATTTTGGGCTGGATAATTATTTTTTTCATGGAGCTGTCTTGTGCACTATAGAATATTTGCAGCATCACTGGTCTCTACCCACTACTTACCAGTAGCAACCCCTTCCTCTTAGTTATGATAACTTCATACATTGCCAAACATCCCCTAGGGAGGAATCCCACTCCTGGATAAGAACCACTGGTTTGGTGTCACCATTATTTGTTAATAGAAGACTTTGTGTTACAACTGCCCTGGGATTTCACTGCTGAATTTCTTTAGTAGATAAGAAGTCCTCAAGATCAAAATAGTTAATAATTTTCCCAAAGTTCAATACCTACTAAATTCAGAGCTAAAACCGGAACCACAGTATAGTTTTTCCCTTTATACCATTATTTCAGTATGAAATAATGGCTTCATTATTGAAGCCATAGTTCTACATTCTCCCCCACATTATTAATTTTATTGCAGCCCAAGGACATACTCTTAAAAATCACAAAAATGCATATAGATGGGTATTTACTGTACTGTATATATATTTAAAAATAGATAACCTGAATGTCCAAGAATGGGAAATTGGTGAAACTGTGTGTGTATATATATATATATATATATATATATGAATTTATACCTTTTTAAAAAGATCATGCCCAGCAATATTCATCATTGTCAATATGTTCACAATAATGGTTAATGTTTAAAAAAAACACTCATTTGTATAATATATATTTTTAAATCATAACATTAACACCAAAGAGCTGACAATTATGGATTTGCATGGGAGGATTATATTTTAGGGGATTTTTCTCTATTTTTCACTATCCTACAATGAACATAGATTTCTTTTCCCAAAAGTATTAAAAATATTTCTACAAATTTGACTTTATGCACAAAGTCATAAAGATAAAACAGTAAATCCCTTTAATAATGATGGTGTTCAAGGACAGCACTAGACAAATCATGGTGGATTACTCAACTGTTCCCAACTGATTACACATCTGTTTCTTCTACCACACATCTGAACCTATTTAACAACGGAGTCCTACTGAACCAACTTTTTTGACTCCATCTATGAAAACAAAAAACTCCATCTATAGTTTTTGTAGAAAACTTTGCAGTAGCTAATCTACTTGTTAACTAACTTCTTTGTTCCTAAAACCAACAGATAGTACTAATTGAAGTTCAAAGAGCTATAAAGAATTTACAAATTATGGATACTTAGAATATCTAATAATAAAGTATAAAAAACAGCTGGTTTGGATTTTTCTGAATTTTGTTTGTTTTTAACATTAATGACCTTCTCTTCCTTCTGCTTGCTAAGCTTGATAAAGCTATTCTTTTCAAGGCAACGGACAATTCTAGCCTCCCTGCTATTTCTGTGTGAACTTTAACTTAAAAACCTACTGTGTACTTATTAGATACAAAATGTTGTCAGGCACCAACAGAAATATAAAGAGAAATAAGAAATACGTACAGTCCAGGAAAGTTAAGAACAGTATTTAACTTGCATCTATAGTTTATGTACTTGGTTGTGTTTTTCCAAAGAACTAAGAAGCAGGATCAATTACAAGAAGAGTAGAATGAGTTACTGGTCACATGTGTGAGTGCAGCTGAGAGCATCTTTCCAACCTAAACTGTAATTGGTTACAACATACTGCTATTTATGATTGTACATTTGTCTGTGTATGACCTCTGGTTCAAAATGGGACACCGAAACTTTCATGGCTAATGTCATGACTGACTAGTCAAGAGATTTTCCTCCAGTTTACCTGGCTCACAGCTGTTCATGCTTGAGTACAGAGCTTTGGTGAGTTCCCATGTGCATTTACCCATAAACCTCTAATCTTCAACCTTGTAAACCTTCGTAGTAGTAAGGCAAATAGTTATAAAACAATTTACTTCTGATAATCCTAACAGAATCAATAATTAATTTATAATTAATCACCAATACCTATATAATGGACTATAAAATTTCACACTACATGAATTTCTAGTTTTATAATTAACATACATTATTCATATACAAAGAACAATTATAATTTTTTTTAAAGTTCACATGAATTAATTCTGCTCTATCTGTCTACCAGATATTTCTGACACCTCTCACCCTAAAAAGAACTGGTTTCATTTCCCTTAAAGCCAAGGAAAGAGAGGAATTCTCACATTGCTTAAAATATACACACTAAGCTAACTTTTATTAAACTTTAATGTGTCAGGGATTGAATTAATTAAATCCTTACAACAACCATACCAAGATAAACTCTCCTTATCCTCATTTTACAATTAAGGAAACTGGGACGCAAAATTAGGTAACCTACCCTCAAATCCCCACCGACAGTGCAGAAATGGACTTCACATCATTTAACTCAAACCAAAATTATAGATTGTTACACTTTCACCCTTGACCTCTGCCTTCTAGAACAAAGGAGCAACAAACAAATAACTCAGACACACGTACAACAATTGACTGAACACCTTAGACGTCATACTAATTGAAAAGGGGCAAAAACTGAAATCACAACTCTGTGCAGGGAAAAGAAACATTTGTTGAAAAAATGAATGAATGAATGAATGAATGAATGAAATGCATGGGATTTAAACTCCCTCATTTCCTGGCAAGAAAAAGTATTTGGAGCATGGTAGGGCAAAGGAAGATAACAGAACAATGAAATTTACCAATTTCATAGTGAAAACCTTCGTCATTGTAAGCAACAATGACATTGACAAAATCTTGCCTAGAACTAACTGCCTAGAAAATCTTTCCTAGAATTACCTGCCTAGAAGAGCAGCAACAGCACACACGGCTTCCCTCATCCAGCACAAATTATCCAATCCCAACACACAATTCCTAAAACCCCTCAAGCCAAAAATACTGTTTCAAAATCAGAACATGTGATTGTAATGTCACTAATGAGCTGCGTGATCTCTAGCAAGTCACGTTATCTCCACTGCAGAGTCAAGGAGTTACACTAAATTGTGATCTTCAGCTCTAACAGATGAACCTGTGCGAAAGGAAAACTAAAACTTGGATACATTTTGAACCGTGAACGACGGGCTTTTTGGCGAGAACATAACTTTACAGCCACTGCGAGCCTTGGCTACTGTGACTGACAGCAAGGTCAAGTGCAGCTTTCCACAACCTCTGCGCTGCCGCTTTACCCTCTGCGTGTACTATAATCCAAATCAGACTTCTAGGGTGAACCAACAGTGGGGAGAGGAGAAAGCACTATTCCGAGTTATCAGAAACCTCAGCCCAGATCTCGGGGGCTACACAGAATGAGCCCCTTGCTCGCCCCGTGATACACAGCAGCTAGTGGAGAGGAGGGGACCTGAACTTCGATCTCCAGACTCCCGGTGCGCTGCCCGGTCCCAAGTGCACCGACGCAGCCGGGGAGGGGAGCAGGAGAGCGGGGGCCCACAGCGGCAGTGGGGTCGTCCAGGGGTTACCTGTGTCAGCCCCAGCCCGGGCGTGCAGCAGCCTGACCTCGGACCACCGTCCGTCGCCACCCGGCCTGCCCCGCACCACCTGCCGCAGAAGCAGCCGCACCCGCCGCGCGGCCTGACCGCCTTGGCCGCCAGGACCTCCGAGGAGCAAGATCCGGGACTGCATGGGGCCGGGGGCGTTGCGGGGGCGGGGAGGGGGTCCCGGCGAGTCGCGTGCGGGCGGGCGGCGTGAGACTGCGCCGCGAGGGGGACA